CCCGGGGCCTGTGGGTTCCCACTCAGAAGGACCGAACCCCTTTCCTGGGGCCGGGGGATGTGGTCGGGGCGGTGGGGCCCTGTCTCCCCGCCCCACAGCCCCACCGAGAAGGCCCAGGCCAAGCAGAAGGCGCGCTGGGCCTGGGCAAGAACGAGGGCCCAGGGCGCTGCAAGGGCTGCCGGGACCTAGCAGCTGGGAGCGCAGGTGCTGCCTTAGAAATGGGGGTGGCGATCCCGGGAGGGGGAAAGTAAAGGGGGAACTAAACCCTTTGATTGCCAGAGAGCTCTTCAGCCTTCCAAAGGCTTGGCTGGGCAGGAGGGGGAGGGGAACTGACCGATTAATACAATCCTGAATGCACCCAGGGGTTCCATCTGCCTCCTGCCCAGCTCCAGTCCAGGCTGACCTACCTGGGAGCAGGAGTGGGTGGGCAGCCAGCCCCACAGCTCAGCTCCCCTCTCCCTCAGCATCTGCCTCTTAGCACAGCAGTCCTACCCTCCTCCACTATTGAGGTGGGGCCCAATGGCACCAGAAGAGTTAACACACACCCCCAACACCTTAAACCCAGCCCTAGAGTCCCCCCAGTCAAGCTGCTGTGACCCCCCCCTCCAACCCTGCTGTGTTAATTGGCATGGAGGGGTGTGGTGGTACCCTGTGGTGGGGGAGCCAGCCAAGGGTTTGCAGGTAGAGGCTGTGGGAGGGGGGGACTAATGGTGGTGGTGGTGGAAGGGAAACCAGGCAGTTGCCTAGCAACCCCACAGCTGTCTGTTGACCTAGAAGAAGCTGCTTCTTCTTGACACAGCTGGTGTTTACATGTAACCGAGGCTCTGGCTTAGCGCTTGCTTGGAGGAAAGCTGAGGCAGGGCCCTTGTGGCAGCCTGGCCCGGCCCCTGGCTGTCTTGGGCTCTCTGCCTGCCTGCCCTTTTTGCTTCAGCTTCTACCTCAAGTCCAATAGGAGAGTGAGTGGGAGAGCAGAGCCCAGAGCCAGAGGCTTTGGGAGGGGGGAGTGGATGCACACCGCACACCCACAGCCTGAGGCCTTCAATGCAGAAATAGTGGGAGGCTAAGATGGAGCATGAAGTGGAGTGGAGAAGGGGATAGTGCCCAGTTTGTGTACAGATTCCAACCCACACAGGGACCACCAACATGACACAGGGGCGTAGCGGACACACAGACTCCCCAAATCAATCTGGCACACAGGCACAGAGAGGCCCCCAGACATAATGGTGTCCAGACAGTCAGACACAAATAACAAATATGCCGAAACACAGTCATCAGATGACCAAAACACTGACACGCAGACACACCCTCAGGTGTCTTGAACAGGGGAGAAGCAGGGACTGTGGTGCTGTGGGTTGGATGCTGGGCTACTAACCACAAAGTCGACAGTTCAAACCCACCATGTGCTCCACGAGAGAAAGATGCGGGTGTCTGCTCCTGTAAAGATTTACTCCCAGAAACCAGTCACTATGCGTCCACTTCAGTCATTCGACATCAGAACCAACTTAATGGCAGCAGCCTGGGACCATATGATAGAGACACACGTAAGTGCATTGACACACAAACAGAACCCCCCATGCTAACACCAGCAGCTCCTGCGTGGACCCTACTCCTTCCCACTGGTGTTTGCAGGCCTCCACTGGAAAAGACACAAGACCCAGACCCACCCACACTCAGAGTCGCCCTCATTCACACACATCCACACAGGGAAACAACTCACCAGACTTTGTCCACAGGGCAAAGACGCTTCGAAGAGCCCAGCATGGGAAGAGACAAGGGCCCTGAAGGACCACCAGCCCAGACAGGACCCACTCATACCCACGCAGTGCCCACAGCACAAACACACACTGGCCTGGGACCAGATCACCCAGCCCCATACACAGCCTCACCGTCAGCCCTAGGAAGAAAGGCACACCAGCTCTCTCCCTCTGAGCCCCCTGTCTGAAGAAAGCGACCAGCTCTGTCCTCGGAAGTTGTCCCCAGGCTGACAGAGGAAGCACGGTCCAGTCTGAGAGTCCCCAGTCTGAGAAGAGGCTGGATCTCCTGCAGGAGTCCCACCTGAACACAGTCCTGGCAGCTCTTGAGACCACAGCAAACAGGCCCACACACGCATGCTGTCATGCGCACACGCACATATGGCAGTTCCTGAGGACTTCCTGAAAGAGGTGAGCCTGAAGCCTCGCTTTGCAGCCCAGGAGGAAATTGGGGGAAGGTGCACTGAAGAGGGCCTTCTTTTCTTCCCCCTCCCCTGCCCCCTCATCCAGCAGTTCCTTCTCCCCCCAGGGCCCAAGGGGCCGGCTGGGGCCCCACAGTCCCATCAGCCCAAGCAGTAAGCAGAAGGAGGAGAGCAGATATTTTTAGCTTCTCTGCCACTGACATTTCGCAGCAGGCGACCTGGGGTGAAGCTGAGTGAGTGCTGAAGGCTGGGAGAAGCCAACGGCGCCTTCCCGCCCCCATGCGCATGTACCCACAACTGCGCACGTACACCGCCCTGTCTCCCAAGCCTTGCTGTGCTCACACAAGTACACAATCACACCCCCAGGCAGACACAGAGACCTGTACATGTTCTTAGTCTACCTGTCACTTATGCCTAAAACCTCACACACCTGGACACACAAAATATTCACTCGCACAACCCTGATACGCAAATGGACCCACAACCCATATGCACAGCACAGTTACCACAGCCAGCCAAGCATGCACACCTTCATTCATAATTCATCAATGAACTGTACATGATTGGACACGATTCTAGACATTCAGGATACCAGGAGCAAAAGAGCCAAAGATTCCAGCCCTCAAAGAGCTTACATTCGGGTGGGCAAAGTTAGCAAATCGGCAAGTAAAGTATTTGCCTCAAAAACCACCGACAGAACCTCCCCTCTTCCATAACACGCAACTGCATGTTAACAGCCCTCTCACATCTTCTACCACCCTACATAGACACGGTTGCACACACAATCCCCAGTCAGGACTCCTACAGGCCGCTCCCCAGATGACCTCAAAACAATCACAGACAGTGTACACACAGCCGAGCACACATGCAGTCAGGTACACACCTCACAACCCAGGCACACATCAATCCTGCCACACACACAGACACATCCTTCTACCTCTATACAGTTTCACTCTCCATTTATACAGAACACAACCTTCCATTTATGCAGAAGACAAAGCACAGCATAAGTGCACATTCACACAAGCCTTTCTGTTTTGACACTTGCAAACCCATGCACACACCCTCCTCTTGGTAGTGGGGGAATCTTTATATCCATCACACACACACACACACATTCCACAGCCCTCCCCCAGCCATGGCCCAGCCTGTTTGTTCATGGGACACATACAATCCTAACTCACTCACAATCTCTCATTCCCACTCAACTCCCGTGCTCCCAAGAAGCCACACATACCTGAGTTTAAGCTCTGTCCCTATGAGACTGCTGCTTCAGGGTTGGGGGCTGATCTCGGGCGCTAGGGAATCCCTGGGATGCCATTCCTTGGGTAAGCAGCAGGACTCCCTAAGAGTTCCAAGTTTGCCCCAGGTGCCCAGCCTAGAGGTGAAGGTGAAGAGGGCACAGCTACCACTTCTCAGACCTCGCCTGTTCCCTCCTTCACTCTGCTCCTTCCTTGCTTCGTGAGTCACTTTCTGTCTCTCCATCTCCCCAGCCCACCCCAGTCTCCCCAGTGGCCCTTGGCCCAGAACCAAGCCCTCCTCTTCTCTTCTGGGTTCTACTGATTTAGAGGGTATTGGAGGCCCTTGTGACAAGCAGACAGACTAACAGGCAAACAGACGGGACCACATTAAGAGCAAGTAAGAGGTAATTTTCATATTCCGAAGGCCCGGGAGGGAGAAGGAGCTAAATAGGCCAAGGGAGGATGGGACTGGCTTGCCCTTGGCCTTGCGTTCACAGCAGAGAAAGCTGGGAAAAGGAGTCCTGCATGCCAGTGAGTTCTGCCTCATTTTGCTGTGTGACTCTGGGTCAGTTGCTGTCCCTCTCTGGGCCTCTTCTGTTTCAGTCTAAAGAAGACACTGCAGTTGATGATTGTGAGGCAATGGACTTCTCAATGGCAAGGAGCAGTCATACAAACAGGAAGAGGGGCTGGGAGCCTTGGGAGGCTAGTTAGAGCAATCAGAGCCCCTCCCCAGAGGTCTTCTACTGCCCAGGCCTGGTCGCTAGTCTGGTTGGCACAGGCAGCCAACAGCACCCCCTCCCCCCAGCACAGGAAAGCACACAGGCTTCTCCAGGCACCAGCACCTCCTTGGCCCTCTCTGGAGCTCAGCCTCCTGCTTGTGCATTTCGGGCTTACATTCAGGCTCTGGGCTGGTACACCAGTCTATGTGTGCACTGTCTGTCTGTCTGTCCTTCTGCCAGCAGCCTTCAGGCGCCAGGAGGGGAGGCAGCAGTGGGGGGATGTGGGGGTGGGGAGGGAGGTAGCGTTGACAAGTTCCAATGTCTGGCTTCCCCTCCTGGAAAGCCCGAGCACGGGCTGGCTCCCCCTTCCCTTCCTGTCTCTCTCGCTCAAGCACGTCCCCTCTAAGAGCCCCTCTCTGCAGACACCCCCAGTGGAACCAAGCCCAGATTTGCTGCCAAGAAGGCCGACATTTCTTAGACTTGCCACGTTAAAGGGGCCTGCACAGGCACGCACTCAAATCCCCCTTCCTCGTCCCCCTCCTGCGCACATTCAGACGACCCGAAACACACAAAGACACGGTTGGACACAGCAGCCACCTGTGCACACAGGAGGCAGCACATGGCGCGCATCTGACCCTGGGCGCACAGACAAGTACAAACACAGGCATGGTCGCCCTCCCCCTCCCTAGCCGGGGCTCACCCGGCGTCTGAAGCCTGCCCTGTCTCCAGCATGCGGTGCTCACAGACCTCGCACGCCCAGTCACACGCCAGTCCTCGCTGTCCCAAGACACAGGGCAGACTTGTTATGCTGGGTGCCCCCACCCCCTGCACAGCACGATGACCACCCCACCTGGTGTAAAGGCAGCCAGGGAGCACAATGCCCGCCCCGCCTGTCCCCTCGCACACATAGGCAAACAAACCCCGTCACACACAGTACAGCTGCAGCCCATGAGACAAGCACACTTACAAAGGCCTCCAGGCACAGAGACACAGTGCGCCTGCTCCCGGGACATTTGGACCGGCCCACATGGTCACACAGTGTCTTTCCGGGCACAGGGACAAGCACAAAACTGAAGCCGCAGGCAGCATTCCCTTATGCACACACAGTCGGTGTTCCTTGTGCCCACACGGGCTCAGGCTCTCAAGACGTGTCCTTGCTCTCTTACACACAGTACCAAGTTCAGAACCCAGGCACACCTCCAGACCCTTTTGTGAACATACAGAGCCTGTGTCGGCGGCAGTCTGATTCTCCGTGCACACACTGCTGGGGCGTGCATCTTTCTGTACACAGGCAGCTGCGCAAAGGTCAGAACACACACACCTTTCCCTGTACTCACCCCAATGCACAGTGACCCTTGTGTGTGTATAAACCTCACAAACACACACACACAGTGTCACCTGTGCACTGACGACCTGCCCCAGTGTGTTCCTCCAAACACACACACTTGTGCTGTTCCCACAAACAGACCTAGCTACCTGAACCCCCCACTCAGACACCCCCCACTTCCCAGGCTCTGGACCCCTGGTAGGTGAAGGTAGGAAGATTGGCAGTTGACTCAGCCCTTGTTCCCTCCCTCTGCTGGCTGGTTCATTCCTTCCCTGGCTGGCAGAGTCAGCCAGCTCAGCCCCAGCTCTGGCTCCCGTGGCTCTGGTGGCCCTGGCTGGCTCTGGCAGCTCTGGGCAAATTCTCAGCGGGTTGATCTCGGCTGAGGCCGCGCCGCCACAGCAGTAGCAGCAGGGACAAGAAGGCTGCAGGCGGCTGCCAACGTGGCAGACGGCGGGCAGGGCGACAGGAAGGAAGCTGGGCCCGTTCTGCGCCCACTCACTGGGGGAAACAAAACCAAGGGGGCTGGAAGAGCAAGCGAGGCAGCTGGGCAGGGGGACCTCAGGTCCAGTCTGGGCTCTGGGCCCATGTTGGCCCCAGACTCACTGGGCGACCTTGGGCAACTAGCTCCCCCTCTCTGGTCCTGCTTCCTCCTTCAGCTATGAACAGTCTAGACTGTTCAGCTCCAAAGCCATATGTTCAGATGTAGAATCTTAGAGGGAAGGGGACATGCGTTCCCACTGGGCCTTGGGCTGGTCCTGTCTCCTCCCTGGGCCCACAGCCTTGCCGCTCAACAATGAAAGCCCCTCCTATCTCACAGTTGCCCCTTGACAAAATGCTCTCACTCTGTAAAGAACACACTACCTTACAGATGAGAAAGTCCACGGTCATAGAGGCCAAGTGAGGCACCCAAGGTTACCCTGCAAGTGAGTGGCAGAGCTGGAGCAGGAACTTGGGGCTCTCTGATTTAGCCTCTGGAATCAATGCTGCCTCTTCACTTCCAGTTATCCCATGCCCCGCCCCCCCTTGGCTGTCCCCCAGAGTCCTCCCCACAACCCTGAGCCCAACCAGAGCCACCTGGTTCTGCCCTGGGGAGTCAGGGGCAAAGGCCAGACCGGCCTCCCACTGGCATTCCAGCTGCCGCTGGGAACACAGCTGTCAGCAGGGCAGAGAGAGCCAAAAGCCGCCTCCCAAGCAGGCCCACATAATTGGTACATTGTCAGCTCAAAAATGGAGCTGCTGTGGGGTCTGAGGAAGCCACAGCCTCTCTGGGCCTCAGTTTCTTCATCTGGCTGCAGACTCAGGAGATTGAGCTAATGACTTCCAGGGCCCTTTCAGCTTGGACAGTTGCCTGGGGAATGAGCAGGGAAAAACACAGAGGGGGCAGGGAGCTAGACTGAGGTTCCCAGCCAGCCGTGGGTGTGCCTTGGGTGGCTGGGCTCAGGGAATCTGACCCCTGCCTCACCTGTAGGCTGGAGTCACACCTGGGTCCTTTCCTTTCAGAAGCCCCACAGAGAGGAGGGACTTGGGAACATTTGCAGGATGGATGGATAGCAGAGAGATAAACAAAGGCCAGAGAAGGAGGGAAGAGAGGGCAGAGACCAGGGCTCCAGGTGCTCAGCACCTTCTAGAAAGAAAAAGAACAAAAGGCAGAGCAATTTCCCCCACCCACCTTCTTTGTTGGTTGAGCAAGCAGAGAAGAGCCCCCTCCGTCCCCCAGGGCGCAGTCTGTG